AAGGACTCAAACAGATATTTGTACACCAATTATTATAAGCATTATTCACAGTAGGCTGAAGGTAGAAGCAATTGAAATATTATCCACAGATGAATGGATAAACAAAATTTTTTTAAATAATAAATTAATTTTTTATTGGTGTTCAATTTGCCAACATACAGAATAACACCCAGTGCTCATCCCGTCAAGTGCCCCCCTCAGTGCCCGTCACCCATTCACCCCCACCCCCGCCCTCCTCCCCCTCCACCACCCCTAGTTCATTTCCCAGAGTTAGAAGTCTTCATGTTCTGTCTCCCCTTCTGATATTTCCCACACATTTCTTCTCCCTTCCCTTATATTCCCTTTCACTATTATTCATATTCCCCAAATGAATGAGACCATATAATGTTTGTCCATCTCCGATTGACTTACTTCACTCAGCATAATACCCTCCAGTTCCATCCACGTTGAAGCAAATGGTGGGTATTTGTCGTTTCTAATGGCTGAGTAATATCCCATTGTATACATAGACCACATCTTCTTTATCCATTCATCTTTCGATGGACACCGAGGCTCCCAAAGATACAGATGCAATGAAACGCCGGGACACCTGCACCCCGATGTTTCTAGCAGCAATGTCCACAATAGCCAAACTGTGGAAGGAGCCTCAATAAACAAAATTTGGTGTTTATACACACACACACACACACACACACACACACACAAATGGAGTATTACTCATAGCCTTAAAAGGAAGGAATTTGTGATACATGCTACAACACTGATGAACCTTGAGGACATTATAAGTGAAATAATTCAGTCACAAAAGAACTGTAATGAACTGGAATACTCTAGGATATCACATGTATGAAATACCTAGAGTAGTCTTTTTCATAGAGACAGAAAGTAGAGTGAGAGTTGTCAGGGGCTGGGGGAAGGGAGGAATTAGAAGTTATTGTTTAGTGGGTATAGGGTACAAAGTTTCAATTTTGCAAGATTGAAAAGTATTCTGGAAATGGATGGTTGCACAACAATGTAAATGCGCTTAATGCCACTGAACTAGAAGTTTAAAATAGTTAAGCTGATAAATGTGTGTTATGTGTATTTTGGCATAATTTTAAAATAATAAAAAAATGTTATTGAGGTTCAGGAGTGAATTCTGAAAGTTGCTCCAATTAGAGGATCTGGCAATCAAGTTTTGGTTTTAAGCTAACAGGAATGGTAGCAGAATTATTTTATACTGAAAATTGAAGTCAATAAAATTGTAATTTATTTCACACTATTAATATTATAGCTTAATTTTTTCTTTTTTTTTTAAAGATCTTATTTATTTGTTCATGAGAGACACAGAGAGAGAGGCAGAGATACAGGCAGAGGGAGAAGCAGGCTCCATCTCAGGAGTCCGATGTGGGACCCGATCCCGGGTCTCCAGCATCACGCCCTGGCTGAAGGCGGCGCTAAACTGCTGAGCCACCAGGGCTGCCCAATATAGCTTAATTTTAAGTAAAAGATGTTATTTCACTTATTAAAAAACCAGATAGTAAATAATTGTAATTCGTATTTAGAGATAAGGGGAAAAGCATATATCACATCAGTAGATGCAAAATTGTGTTTGTGTAATATTCAATAAAAATTCATGATTGAGGGGGGTGAAAAAGAAAGGTCCACCTCAGTGAAGCTCCAATCAGACCCTTTTCTTTGGTTATCAAAGTATCCAGATATTTTTCTAATATTGCACCTATGATTTTGTAATTGGAATGATCGGTTCACAGGTTTTCTCCTAGATTGAAAAGGCATCTGATGTATCTCTTGTCACCTAAAAATCTAGCATGGTGCCTGATGAAAGGAGATTCTCAGTAAATGCTGGCTGGCTGAAAAACAAATAGAGTGTTCTGTGTAATATTCTAGGCATAAGTCTCTGAGGGTGTTTCCAAACCGGTCTGAAGGTGAGCTACCTAGAAAACCAGAGGATACCAGGGCTGACTGGCTCTGAGTGGGGTTCCAGGCAGGACACTTTGTCAGGTCTATGAAAGGTTCACATACAAGAGAGAAGCTTTACTGTAGCAAAGAAATTCTTCCCGCAGGTCTCCTTACACCCCAGGCACTAATGGGGAGGGTTGCAGGAGCTAGAGGCAAGAGGGATAAAAAAAGACAGGCCAAGGGTTAGGAAAGACAACCTCTGCATGGCCCATCCAAAAGAGCAACCAGGAAGATCCTCCACGGTCCACATGGCACAAGTCAACCTAGAGCAGAGGTCAGTGCATCTTTATCTTTACCGTAAGGGGGCAGAGAGTAACTATTTCAAGCTTCAGGGACCATGTGGTCTGTTTCAACTACTCAACTTTGTCACTGTGGTACAAAAGCTACCAGAGACAATATGTAAATGAACATATGGCTGTGTTCCAACAGAACTCTATTGGCAAAAATAGGTGGTGGACCCAATTTGAGCCATGGGCCATAGTTTGCAGACCTCTGGTCTAAAGTCTTCCTACTTAATGGAGGTCCAAGGACCAGCAGCAGTGACATCATGCGGGAGCTTGTTGGATCCATATAATCTCGGACAGCATCCAAGATCTTTGGAATCTAATTCCCATTTTATAAAATGCCCAGCAGAGTTTGCAAAGTGCTCTACCTAACCTCTGAGATCCCCTTCATCCTGAGCGCTAAGACTCTACAACAGCACAAGCCCAGGAGGCACTTAGTGCCTTCTTCGTAAATCTGACCCAGGGTACAAGGGCAAGCCCTTGCTGGCCCTGCACACAGGCAGTTCTCTGGGCAGTTACAGCACACCTTAGAGAGGACACCAAGACAGAGGGCACAACTCGGCCGAGGAGATTCTGCTCAGGACAGCTGCCAATGAGACATGGACTGCAGAAGCTAGAGAAGTGATGAACCCCAGAGCCGAACTCTAAATCCAAACCCTTCTCCCTGACTCTCCCTCAACAGGTATGGAACACCCCCAGGTAGCTCCCAACACCTCCCACTGGTGATTTGCCCTATCATTAAAACTTTCCTGCATCTCCTATTGTGGTGGTGAATTTTATGAGTCAATCTGACAAGCCATGGGGTGCCCAGATGAAACATCATTTGTAAGTGTCTCCAGACCAGGTTAGCACTCGAATCCATGGACTCACAAAAGTAGACCACTCTCCCCAATATGGGTTGGCATCATCCAGTCTGTTCAGGGCCTAACAGAATGAAAGGTAGAGGGAGGAGGCATTTGCCCCCCTTTTTCCTGTCTTACTGCTTGAGGTGAGACATCTCATTTTATCTTATCTAGCCTCAGTTTGGACTTTCACTGCTGGCTCCCCTGGTTCTCAGGCCTTCAGACTCGAACTGAATGATACTACAGGCTCTCCTGAGTCTCTAGCTTGCAGTTGAAAGATCCTGAGACTTCTCAGCCTCCATAATCACATATATATCCCCTACTGGTTGGATATATATATCCTACTGGTTCTGTTTCTCTGGAGAACCCTGATCAATACACCTACCAATATAATATAAAAGTAAGCAGCATGAAGCATTCATCCACCCCCAAGTACAATTTTGTGCTCTGTTCCTCAAGGAAGTCCCTTACCACTGGTTAGCTCCTAGAATCGGTGACTCTCAACTTTGGGCAGTTTGTCCCCATAGGGGACATCTGGCTGTGTAGAAACATTTTTGGTTGTTGCAATTGCAGTGAGGGATGATACTGGCATCTAGTGGGTAGGAGGGAAGGCTATGCTAAACAGCCTATGGTGCACAGAACAGTCCCTCACAACAAAGAACTATCTGGTCCCAAAAGTGAATATATCAAGGCTGAGAGACCCTATTCTAAAACAAACATAACCAGAAGTGAATGGGTTCCAGGAGAACACCTCACTTTAATGAAGCCCTCAAGAGAACACATCAACCAATAGCAGTTTTATTAATTCATAACTGGAGAGTCACCTGGCACAAGAGCTGAGTCAGGTCCCCTTCTAGACAAGTGGATCCTGAGGATTATCTTGGCAAGGACAAAATTACAACTACAGAGCTGCATATTTTCAAATCCAGGGCTTTCTCCTGATGATAACCCATTGCATTAACTGTATTCTAGGGGAAATTATGTTTAGAGGACACTCTAGGGCCAGTCAACCAGCATCACAGTACACTCTCTTTGAACATATCTCACCAATTCTTATAAATCTTACTGACAGCTTTCTCTCATCCCTGACTCAAAGCTCTTTTAATTAATTACCAACAAACAACAATACAATTGAAAAAACACAGCTGCTGGGATGCCTGGGTGGCTCAGTGGTTGAGCGTCTGCCTTTGGCTCAGGACATGATCCTGAAGTTCAGGGATCGAGTCCTGCGTCGGGCTCCCCACAGGGAGCCTGCTTCTCCTCCCTCTTCCTATGTCTCTGCCTCTGTCTCTGTGTCTCTCATGAATGAATAAATAAAATCATAAAAAAAAGAACATAGCTGCTGTCCATCACTTACGTCTCATAATTTTGTCTCCTAAACACATGCCGGTTTCTTGTTGTAGAAGACAGCCTGTCTATGAGCACTGTCTCTTAGACTGAATGGCTAATTATATGCATTGCATGCTATCTTCACTGGCTTTCATTTTATTTTTTTTAAAGATTTTATTTACTTATTCATGAGAGACATAGAGAGAGGGGCAGACACAGGCAGAGGGAGAAGCAGGCTCCCCACAGGGAGCTCAATGTGGGGCTCGATCCCAGAACCCCGGGATCACGACCTGAGCCAAAGGCAGATGCTCAACCACTGAGCCAGCCAGGTGCCCCACTGGCTTCCATTTTAGAGGTAACCTCATTCCCAGGGCTGCGGAATCATATTCTCTGGAACCTTGATTCCACTCATTTATATTGAGTATAATCACTGAATGTATAAAATGAAATGTGCCAAGGGATGATAGATTTCATCTTATACTTCAGTGGCAGCGGTGACTAAGCCATGGTGTGTAAGCCGCTGGGCAGACGACTCTCTCATTACATAGTGTGCAGGGTGGTAAAAACTCATTATCCCCTTAGCTACCTGGGGAGAGACGTGCTGTCAGGGACAGAGGATTATCTGGCAAAAATAGTTCATCCCTGGTGATGTTGGTGCCAAGCAGTAGAGGTTCTGAAACTTGGTTGGCCTCAGTTGGATTCTCAGGCTCTGAAAGAAAAGAGAAATGGCACCAAAAAAAACATCAGAAAGCTATCACATGCTCAAGACATCACATCATGCCATCACATCATCACATCAAGCCTTAGACATCACGTCATGAACCTAGCAGAAAAACCCTGGTGATGTTTTCCTGGACCTCTGAAAAGATGGAAGAGCATCTCCTGAGAGGATAAAACTCACGGCCAGAGTTTAATATGGAATTGGAGCCAGACGGCCAGAGAAACCAAACTCCCAAGTTCATAGCAGAAAGGGAAGCAAGGGGTAAAAGATCAGAGATGCATGCTTCCTCTTCCCTCTTGGAGCCAAAGCCCACAGAACAGATAGAGTGGGATGTGTCCACATGGCCCCGTCATCAGTGAAGTTCTCTGGAACAGGAAGGGAGGAAATTTGGTTCCCAGATAGCAGTGCCCAGATGGGCCATGAAATGAGTCTCATGCAGCACTGTGTAGCCCCAAAACCCTGGAAGTGCTGATATGTGGATTCCTACAGTCAGAAGTCTTAAGGCCTTGAGCTATGTTCAACCCAGCTAGGGAGGCCAGCAGGGGCCTCTGAAAGACTAGATCCCACAGAGCCTCTTTATGTTGTGAGCTTCACTGAAAAGCGTGTAGAAGGAATGAAATCTGTCCTAGAGCTCCCGAAGCACTAAAGTAGTCCCCCTGTTCTACACAGACATGTGTGTGCATGTGTCGGCATCACTTCCTGCCGACTTCTGCAGCATCTGACTTCTGCTCGTTTATTCACGTCTTATAGATACTTATCCTAGCCACCTCAACCTCCCATAGAATTTGTGGTACCTTTCTATCTCCATTTTCCTGGTGAAGAAATTAAAAGAAGAAGGAAAAGGAAACTTGAAGCACAAGATTGACAGATCTTTAGAGACTCAGGCACCAAAGTGTGGAAATAGATCTTTGAGACCCACTCACCCCCACCCCAAACACTAGTGAAAAACACACATGAACTGACCCCAGTGTGGCCACATGGCATCTGAGATGCAAAGGTTTGAATGGAAAAAGAGCTCCCATACCTCAGGATAGGAAGAGGATACACATGGTCCCAGAGAAATCACCAAGTAGAAAGAAATCTGCTTTTCTCTACCGGACTGATAAACACCAGTGGGTGACATACCTAACATGCTAACATGCCAGCCACTTGGCATAGTTTGCTCCACCAAACTTCCCCTCCAGCCTACTGTAGCAAACCATTTTCAGGGAAACATCCTGGACCTGTCACCTGGAAAGGCGCCACTTCTGAAATCTGGGCTGCGAGTTCCTTAGGGGCAAGGATTATGTCTTCCTTCTGCAACTTGTTCCCAGGGCCTCCCACAGTTAAGAGTACAGAGCCAATGTTGAGTGACCGTGGGTGACTCACTCACACTCAGAAATCTCACTCTCCAACCAGAACCTTCTCTCTTCTACTTCTGTCACCCCTGGAATCAAAGTAACTTCTCTGAGACCTCAGACTTCTTATAAAGAAAATCTTTGGGATCTAGGACCAGGCAAAGAAATCTTAGCCTTGAATCCAAAATCACATTCCAAAACAGAAAATTGATAATTTGGACATCATGAAAATGAAAAACATTTCTTCTGTGTTAAGAGGATGAAAAGAAAAACTATAGTGTGGGGAGAGAAGATATATTTGCAAATCATTTATCTGCCCAATGGAATAGTATCTAGAATATATAAAGAACCTTCAAAAATAGTGACAACACCAAATGTGGACAAGGATGTGGAAAAAATGGATCACTCATACATTGATCATGGGAATGTAAAATGAAACAGACACTATGGAAAACAATTTGGCCGTTTCTTAAAAAACTGGGTATGAAATTATCATGTAACCCAGCAACTGCGTTGCTCCTGGGCATTGATCTCAAGAGACATGAAGCCTTAGTTTCACACAAAACCCACGTAGAGCTTTATATTTACAGCTTTATTTGTAATAGCCCCAAATTGGAAATAATCCAAGTTTTCTTCAGTGGGTGAATGTTTAAACAAACTGTGGTACATCCATGACCAGGTACATCCATGACTCAAAACAACGACAACAAAAAAAGACAAACTTTAACTCATGCAACAACCTGGATGAATCTTCAAAAAAATATACTGAGTGAAAAAACTCAATCTTGAGAAACCTGGGTGGCTCAGTGATTGAGCATCTGCGTTTGACTCGAGTTGTGATCCTGGGGTCCTGGGATTGAGTCCTGCATCAGGCTCCCCGTGTGGAGCCTGCTTCTCCCTCGGCCTGTGTCTCTGCCTCTCTCTCTCTGTGTCTGTCATGAATAAATAAATAAAGTCTTAAAAAAAAACCCTCAATCAGAAGGTTGCGTATTATATGATTTCATTTGTGCAACATTCTTGAAATGTCAAATTACAGAAATGGGAACAAATTGGTGGTTTCAGGGGTTAAGGAGAGGGTGGGGTCAGAAGGGAAGTGAGTGCAGCTATAAAAGGACAACAGAGGGATCCTGGTGGTGATGGGAATGTTCTGCATCTTGACTATATCAGTGTCAACATCCCGGTTGTGATATTGTACTGCAGTCTTGCAGAATGTTATCATTAGGGAAACTGGTTAAATGGAACATAGGATCTCTTTATTATTTCTTAAAATTGCATATAAATTTGAAATTGTCTCCAGGGTCATTCTGAATCATAATCTTCACATTAAAGTTTAAGACTTACTGATCTCAAAGACTCAACCAGGGGGCACCTGGGTGATTCAGACAGTGAAGCGTCTGCCTTGGGCTCAAATAATGATCTTGGGGTCCTGGGATCAAGCCCCGCATGCTCAGCAGGGAGTCTGCTTCTCCCTCTCCCTCTGTTCCTCTCCTCCTCACCCCAGGCTTGTGCTCTCTCGCTCTCTCTCTCTCAAATAAATAAAAGTCTTTTAAAAAAAAAAAATAAAAAATAAAAGACTCAACCAGGGCATCGAGGGAAATTCAAAATTCTTTCTTATGAGCAACAGTTGAAGGGAAGAAAATTTCATCCGGGGAAATCTTGGAGAGGGAGATGGTGAGAGGCTTCTTCTAGAATATGAAGGGATTATGCGGGAGAAGTTACATTTGGTGCATGTGGCACCAGTAAACAAAACACAAGCTAATTAGGGGAAAGTGCACAAGCTTCAGGACTGATCAGACCTGAATTTAAACCCAAGCTCCATCACCACCTATCTTGAAGACTGGGCAATTAGTTGACCTCCCTGACCCTCCTTTCCTTTTCATTAAAATGAGGCTGATTCCTACCTGAATCCGACAATCAGCATCTAAGCAGAGAAAGAGAAACTGTTTCAAATATTTGCAACAAAAGGGTGAATGCAGGGAATGGATTGCAATGATAAAGACAGAAATTCAGGTGGAAGGTAACAAAGAAACTGAGGGATGAAGCCTCACATGATAGACAAGTCAGGAGTTGAAAGAACTTCTCAAATTGACATCTTTTTAAAGATGAAATTAGTTGGAGTACGGTTGTAGGGGATGGGGCCACGAGGCAATTGAGAGATCAGCAATGATGGGCAGCAGACAGTTGAAGGGACAAGGGGAGGAGGCAGTGTTACCCAGGGGCCAGGGACACCACGAAGAATCTGGAGCAGTGGAAATGTGGGCACCACTAGAGGAGATGCTTGAGGAAGAGAGAAAGGAAGAAAATACTCTGGCCTCCTCCTTTCCTCTGCCCTCTAGCCTCCCCCTGGTGCCTCCATTGGCCAAACTCAGCAGGAAGCCAGAGCACCCTGGGGTCTGAGGAAGGCAACCACTAGGTCAGCCCCTGCTATCCAGGGCAAAACAGGGATCAGAAGACAAATAGGCCCAGATCTTGTGCATTTTTTGGGTGTCTGTGAAGATACAGAGCATGTAAATGCCTGACATATAGTAGGTGCTAAATAAATGATAACTCTAACTTTTATGCGCCAATGTTATATGATAAGCATTTAAAAGCACATTTTCTCATCACTTTATATCTAAATATACAGCAACACAAGCTGGGATATCTGGCTCATGCTACATGGACTCTGCCAAGAATGCTTTTTTTTGTGTTGTTTTTTTTTTCCAAATGAGCTACATATCTGAGAAATGTGAAAAGCAGCCCTGTCCTAAAGTTTCATTGTATAAAGCAAATGTTGAATTTCCACAGCTGCTAGCTTCAGCCTACCCAGAGGAATAGTTTTAGTGAAATATTAATCTCTGAGAAAGCCACATTGGGGTAAGACTGCACAGTAATTCAAGCAGCATGTGCAAAATTTATTTAGTTTTGGCCAGGAATGGTTTTAATTATGTGAAGTCTTCAGAATGAGAAGAAAGTGACTGAAGATGTTTGACTAAATCAGTCACAGAGGGTTTGGATGCCCCCAGCTCCCTCCCCAGTTTCAGTTTATTTCTGCAGGCTCCAAACCATACACACAAAGGAAACTCCCATGGAACTGGATGATGGCATTGCCAGAACCCAGATGCAACCAGCAGTAAAAACAACCAAGACAGGAAACATCATCAGTACCAGTAGCGCAGAGACCTCTGTGTAGCATAAAGGCCAGGTGTCCAGCTGTGGGAGGATAACTAGGGTGGAAGAGAGAGAGGGGTGAGAATCCAGAAGGAATTTTCAAACCCTGGGAGACAAGATGCAAGATGCTTTTTCACTGAAGGTCCCAGGAGGGTGTAAGGTGCAGAGTGTGCTCTGCACCTGCTGGACACCTCGCATATCCTGGAAGTCACCTGGTCACATGAGGTGTTGGACTTGAAGTAACACCTGGGAGTGGAGAGAGGGCCAGGACCCAGGTCTAAGGATGATACATGCCCTGAGGACTGGGCTTAGCAGATAGCAGAGTTGAGCCAGTCCTATGGGCCTTAAAAATGGCCACTGATCAGAAGCCACAAAGTGTCCCCTAGGCTGGCGGGACAAAGAAAAAAACCCAGGAAGTTATCTTTAAAGATGAGCATTCAGCCTCTGGGTTCTGTGCATAAATGCCAGGGCCCTGGCACCAGCCTAGAGGCAGGGGTCTCT